ATTATTATTATTTAAATTTCTTGGAGTTTGTTTGACCCCTTTAATTCCCATTCTTTGACATTTTTCAAAGTCCTCAGTTTTTTTTTTCTGAATGTCTACTGCCTGTCATTTTTCTCTAAACCCCTGGGATTAAACCATGTCAGGTGATTTTTTTTAAAGGGCTAATGCTCATCTACTGTGGGATCATTCATAACACCTGAAGTGGTAGACTTTTTTAATGCCAAAGAGTAGCTTTTAAGCAACATGTGGGAGGGTTTCCAGTAATCTTATTATCCATTTGCCTGTTACAAAGTATTCTGTCACCATATCCACCCCAGTGATTTACAGTATTCCTAGGATTAATCTAGTAATTGACATCTGGAACTAACATTAAGGATGATGTTTTTGACCTAGTAAGCACAGATCCATGATGAATTAAGAGATTGGGACTCCCTTTATAATGCTCACTATATCAAAAGCCCTGCCCCATGATATACTGTAGATACTATATTATACACATACAGTATATATGCAGGTAATTCATTTAAAATTATTGCAATTTACAGGTAATAATTTTTCTTTCTCAGATGGGTCAAACATATTTTGAATGTCGTAATACAGTATGGTGACATGTGATGAAGAGTCTCTCAGGGTTAAATATGTGTAGATAAGGAAATCTGTACCATTTCATAGTGTGGGTAAGAATACATACAGCAGGAGTTTGCATGGCTCAGCTAAAGTATTCTCCTGTCTCTGCTTATGGAGATATAGCTTCTGAAATCAATCACCATTTATCTATACATTTTCAGTAAATCAGCAAACCTGCTCTGGCATGCAAAATGAACTATTGATTAGTCATCATATGCCACAGTAAGCTGTCATATGGAGAAGCAGAAAATAGTGATTACAGTGTCTGCATCTTGACAGTACATAAATATGTCAAAAAGAACGAAGTATACGTGTGGGTATCCAGAGTATATGAAAGTAAATGATATCCCAATGTCCTGGCTAACCATTCTGACTTTGCACAATCTGGCCTACCTAAAGTTCTTAATCCAATTGGTGAAGCAATTTCTCACTTCTTTGTCTGCACTCTGGCTGCAGGTGCAGAATGTCTGTATACTTATACATAGAGCTTTCAGATCCTTCAAAAAGGTGAAAATCACTATCAAGTGATTAATATGATCGGGATTATGATACCGATGTTTGTTTTAATTCTACTGTTTATATAATTCTCCTCTAAAATGGAATCAGGAGATTTTATGTGCCAATTGTGTTAGAAAATGCAGAGGTGTCCAGGCACCTTATTAATAGCAATCAGCTCTGTTACATGAAGCTATGAGAATCCCATGACCTACTGTGCCCCTTTGACTGAACTGATATTCCTGCACAGTGCTTCTCTACTAGTTAAACACGTGGCAACTTCATTTGTTGATTGAAACTTCTTGGGATATAATTATGAAGAGAAAGCCACAGAAACGTGTGGAGAGCACATTTTGTTTCATGTTTATTTCATTTTGCACAGCTTAAAGCTGAAATCCCTTTTTTTAAACACCACAGATCTATCACTTTCACTGAAGGCTACCCCCTGTAGTTTATGCTGCTTTATATTCATACCTTGTTTCATTACCTTTCGAAAATGGCCTTTAATGTTTTGATATAATCACACACGTTACTTTGTGATAAGGCTCGAGTTAAAGATTCATTTCAATTTGAATGCTCCAGTATCTCTTCCCAATACACATCTCAACACCCACCTAGTTCTTTTTCTTTAGTCTTAATTGTCCTACAGTGCATATTTTCATACATGGAAATTGAATCCTTTAATCCAGTCACCTTCCTCCAAAAAGGGTTACCAAGATAATTACTATGACCACAAAATAATTCAAAGCAAACAAATGGTATACAGCATATGAAAAACTAAACAGTCTGTCTTTATACCTGCTTAAGTTTTAGATTATCAAAAGAGTCATTCTTTGTTTAGCAATACTGCTGTCTAGTATGCTCCTTCATAACAAGGTTCTCAAATATCCATGAATGTGCAAGTAGCACAGCAAAATTGTTGCCAATGTAGTGATTCTAAAAAAGTAACCAGAGAAATTTGTTTTTTTTTTCCATTTTTTCCACATTTCAAATTATAATACGAAGAAAGATCAATATTGATAGTGGTAATTTCACAAACATTTTATTTATGTATAGAAGATATTGGTGGCATGTATTTTCTATCATATAATTCTCTCAATCAGGGTGGCTGTGTTAGAGGATGGAAGCCTGAGAATCACCAATGTTACGAAATCTGATGGTGGAAGATACACATGTATTGCCAGAAACCCATTTGGAACTTCGAGCAGCACAGGAAGTTTGGTGGTTAAAGGTAAGCTTTTAAACTGGGATTTTACTGGCTTTTCAGCATGAGCATTGAGAAATAAGAAAAGAAAAAAAAAGAATAACCCAACCATGAAATTGATAATGAAATATATAGTTGTTTTATGTTCCTGCTAGTCTGACAGTAACATAACTCATCCTAAGCTTTGTCAGCTTTGAGTTATTGGCCGTGCGGTTACGTCCAGAAAATAAAAAAATACTTTGGCACCTCCTGGAAAAAATACAATATGTGCTGCATTATTCTAAACCCATTCATTATATCTTTTATTTTGATTTAAAAAAGCTTAGCGTCATAGCATTTTGTAGATTTAACAACTAAATATATCCCTTTTTAATTTATATAGCTTTTGAGTTTCAACTTAATTGCCATGACAGAAATAATTAAATTGGATTCCAAAGACTGAAATAAGAGTATGCTCAAAGCAGCGATACTTACTATGCAGTATGTTGGTCAGCTTGCTTTCTTTCCTCTCAATGCTGTTTTCTACCACTAATCTTCCAAGTCTTGTCTCAGCTGGATAAAACAAATGATTAGGTGTTAAAAAACACCTTCAGATTTTTAAAGGTCACTCTAAGTCATCTCTGCTAGACCTCATAAACTATTTATGAGGGACATCTGTTGCTACTGTACATGGACATTGGTACACTACTGTTTAGTTTCTTAACCCCAAACTGATTCCCAAGCTCACATTGAGATTGTACTTGAGACACAATTTTGTGTCCTGGCCAGATATTTATAAATCAGTTAATGAGATTTAATGTTCAGTAGAGGGAGAATGGGTCTTTTGTGTAGGAAGATAAATTTTAATTTCAGTAACCAAAAACCTTATTTCCATACATCTGGAGTCTCCTTCTCACTGTTCAACAGCTGTGTTCATTAACAAATGATTTAATTGATAATCATTTATAAATATTTACTGATGTAAGTGTGATTTATAATCTCTTACAGAGTCAGTGCACTTCTTGATGTCCAGGTGGCATTTTATAAGAACAATTAGGCTGTATTTTATTATTGTAAATGTTGCAGAGCCCACAACCTATATGTAAAATTAGTTTCTGTCATCTGTGATGTATGAATCTGGGAATTTTAAGAAATGCGTTAATGCACAAAGCATAATTTCCAACAAATGTATTAATTCAGTAAGGAAAACTCTGGAATCTTTGTGTGGAGTGTGCATGTTCTTCTTGGCTTCACATGGGCTTGTGCCAGGTTCTGTACTTCCCAACCTCCCAGAAACATAAATGTCCAGGCTTCATTGGCTATTCTAAAGTGTCCCTTTATCTGTGTCCCTGCAATGGACCGGGCATCCTTTCCAGAACAAGGGAAGTGGTATACTGCAGCCTTCACCAGGTTATGTGTATTTCTCATACTAAATGGCTCGATATACTATACCAAATAATGAATTAAACCAATACATCTAGATACAAGGTCGTGGCGGACCTGGATCCTATCGCCTATCATGTCCACACTTACACCAAGGCCAATTTTCCCAGAAGTGAATTAACCTTTTAGTATGTCTTTGGACTATAGGAGGAATCTGCAGCTTCTGGAAAAAATACATATGAACATGGGGAGAACATACAGTACAACCTTCACTCTGATAGCACCCCAGGAATTGGACCCATTGCCACCATGAAGCAAGGCAGCAATTCTAATCACTGCACCACCATGCAGCCTTATTGAACCAATCATTATTATTAAATCTGATTTAATATGTATAATATACTGTAATTGCTATTTGATTACATTCTGTTCAAAGAACATCAACTATTAGGTGAAGATCCTATTTTACTTTATGACTAATTTGATGCATTTTACAGTATATGAAGCACAAAACCATGTGTGTTAGTGTTAAACTTTGACTTTATATAAGTTGACTATTTGACTATATATAGAAGATTAAATTATAAATCAAATGTATAATGCATGTTGTTCCAAAAGATCTCTCTGCACGTTACAGGATTTTTTTATGTAAGATTTCTAGGTAATAAATTAGCTGTCTAAAGCTATTACTCTCTTGCAGTATTTATTATCAAAGTAGTGCTCAATGTCTAAAAAATGTGTTTCGTTATGTACTCTTTGTCTTTATAGAGCCTACAAAGATCATTATTCCACCTTTAAGTGTTGATGCTACAGTTGGGGAAAGCATAGTCCTTCCATGTGAAGTATCAAAAGACTCAACCCTAGATCCCACCTTCAAATGGTTTTTCAATGGGAAGCTGATTGATTTTAACAGACAAGACCATTTTGAAAAAATCGGAGGAGTAAGTACTTGAAACTCATACTTCACCCTAATGATATGATACAAGCTCTACAGACATTCCATATTGGAGTTAGAGCTTAAACCAGAGAAAGATGCAATCAGTTTCCTTGTGCTCATTCCTAAGAAATGAATGGTCAGATTGCAAATATGGCTTAATCTGTAACTAATATTTATATTTCTAAATTATCATATATTCCTAATCTGAAGAGGTTCTTTTTGGAATACAGTATGTTTACCATGTGTTTACTCTAAATTAACATAAAATAAGTTTATTTACAAAAACCAAAGTCTAAAATAAATTTCTAATGCACTTGCATACATTATGTAATACCAGACCAATCTAAATTTCTAAAACCAGCTACAGGAATTATTTAAAAATGTGGATTTGTCTAGATATGAAGACTAAAAGGGTTGGGTATTTTCCAAGATACAGTAATTAGTAGTTTTGTAAAAATAATTCCTGGTCTAGTTAAAAGTTAAAAGTTACATTTCTCAGGTTTCAGATCTAGTTTTTGAAATACTAACTCATTCAACTTTGAATAATAACTTTGAACAATTTACAGTGCTATTACTCAACAACAAATCACATTTCCTCTTATAATACTAAAGTGCACATATTCAAAATATTAGGAACAAGTAATAGGTTTATTCCATGCTGAAAAAAAGAAGAAAGAGAACACAACGTTTCGGCCGTGGAGCCTTCTTCAGGTGTGAGAGAGACAGGGCAGTAGGCAAAGGTAAAGTAGCGGGAGAACAAAGGTTGGGAGGGAGGAGGAGTGAGAGGCGGGAGCAGGGGACAGAAAGAGAGGCCAATCAAGAGGTGTGAAGTCAGAATGGGTGCAGAGAGGTGTGAAATGAAACTTCCAATGAATGGAGAAAATTTAAAAGAACAGTAATCTGTCGTTAAGGGAAGGGAGAATGTGTGATCCTAACTGCAGAATAATTTTAGTTTCGGTGGTCTTTCTGATGTATGAGTTCGGAAAACCGTCTTTGAGAACACAGACGGAGAGATTAGTGTGGTCGTAATATTTTGAACTAATATTCAAAATATTAGTTGTTTGTACTGGATTTTGGAATACAGTGATCTAAGCATAAATTGTTCTTTCACAGATACAGTAGGTAAATTGTAAGAATGTTATCTCTTGGCATCTTTATAAGGTCTAACTGCTCAATATTGTGGAGTGAAAAACACCAGAAGCTTTATAAATATTTTTCTTCTGTACAGGGTTCTTCTGGTGACTTGATGATCAGGAATATTCAACTGAAGCATGCAGGAAAATATGTCTGCATGGTCCATACAGTTGTTGACAGTGTATCAGCGGCAGCTGACTTGATTGTGAGAGGTGTGCTTACTTGCTGTGTGTCTGTTTTTAGCAAGTTATTTTATTACTTATTTCAGGACACTTATAGAGAATGGTAGTTCATATATTTTTTAAATCACAGTAGCCTCATGATATTGATTAATGAAAAGATAAAGCAAAACCATGTTCCTCCAATCTATTTTTAATGGGTATCTTCTTTTTAAACCATCCAATTATATTCCCTTTCTTTTCTGCAATAAGTGAATTGTGCATGAGACAGCTATCCATTTTATTTTAATAGATTTATTATGAATGTGATATGACTTTGTATGTGCCTGAACGCTTTATGTGTCATATCAGGGCCCCCAGGTCCTCCAGAGGATCTGATTGTTGAAGAGATTACTGACACAACAGCTCAGCTTTCCTGGGGACCAGGTACTGATAATCGTAGCCCAGTTAACACTTACACAATACAGGCAAGGACACCTTTTTCAATAGGATGGCAGGCAGTTAAAACAGGTAATTATACCCTACAATTAATTGAATTTATAACTAAATTCCCATTTGATTATTTGTCTGTGTACCATTCTATTTATACTGTATACATAATGTTGGAAATGTCTGTCCTCTTTTCATCCTAGACTATTTTGTAAGGATTTTATTGACTCATTACCGTTGAACAGTACCATTGGGTTCTTGCGCTGAATTACAAAGTTATTTACCTATAAATCCATTGAATGTGACAGTAATGAAAGTAATGAAAATATAACATTTATTCTAAGAATAGCAATTATTACTGATTTTGAAAAGTTTCCTTAATTTAATAAGCGCCTTTAATAAACCTTTAATAAAGGTTTGGGAAATATCTTATGAAGTTTTCAAGTATTTTTTTTAAGTCTACAATGTGTGGAAGACATTTGAAGACAAAAAAAATGTAAAAAGTATGTAAAGTAAATACATATGTATTTCATGATGTTAAATAGTTCAGTTCCAGTCTCTCTTTTAATCATAGTTCCTGAATACATACCTGGAAAGACACTGAGAACCACCGTGGTAGATCTAAACCCGTGGGTGGATTATGAATTTCGGGTGGTTGCAAGCAACAGTGTTGGGGTTGGAGAGCCAAGTGCTCCATCAAAGCAGTTCAGGACAAAAGCAGGAGGTAAGATCTTCATTTCCATGTGACTTAAATGTCTTCCTTCAAGAAAATATGTATTATTAACTGTAGAGCAAAACAATTGTGCTCGTTTCAATGCCCTTGACTAAATATTAAATTACTGTATGTGAGGTACTGTACAGTATGACTTTTGATTCATAACACAACATCGAACTACTGTATATTGAAGTTGTTTATTCTTAGTAGACCAGGAGATTATTATATAACATTACAAAGCAAGTTTGTTTTAAATTAACTTCTAAAAACAACCTGAATATTTCTGTAGAATTTCATGGCATTTCCCAATTCAATAGTATGAGCTGTGTTTCAATTGGAAGAGAACAGCTGATCTTGCTTGGTTATACTGTTCTTGTAATCTGCTAAGTGATATACCCCTGACATCAGCCCTGTAGTTTGTTCTCTGTCATTTGCGTGATTATAGAACAGCATGTTTTGAACAGTGTTTCACAGAGGTGCTGTTAAAAGATGATGTTCTGTATAGCTTTTGATGCACATAAGAACCAATTGTTATTTCACATTTCCTTGAGTGCCTTTTAATAATGGTACTTACCATGTAGAAGTAACCTTCCTGGTTACATTTTGATCCTATCACTATCACTAACTTTTTTTTGTATAATACTGTCTCACAACATATTTTATTTTTCAAAAACATCATGCATGATATCTAAGGGATTGTTAACTTTCTATTCCTTTCAATGTCTTTTTTAAGCTTTCTAAACATAACAAATAAAGAAAAAGACATGCCGTTGTCAGTATACTGCAGCTCATAGAAAGGACAAAAAAAGAGGGAGAAATTGCCTATTTGTCCCTACTTTAAAAATGCACATTTGAAATAAGTGATTTGTCAGAGTACTTGTACTTGATCTTTCACATTCCATTAAAAGATTTCTGGAATCACTGGTCTGCTAATGAAACAGTGAAGAAAAGCAAGTGTTATAATGACAAAAGGGAATCCACTTAATGGTTTAGACTAATGTTTCACACAAAACAGTGTGGGTTTCGTGTGGTATACATTAGCAAGCAGAACATTCAGCAGTGACTAATGCATGCTCTCATCGACAACTGCTAGGTCTTTTGAAAAATACTGTTAAGTTGGACAGATGAATTCAAAGAGTCTCCTTTAAGTCTGTAGCAAATTGAGAGTTGCTGTAGCAATTAGAAAATGGAATTGGAAATTGTGAGAGTTCTACTACTGTTAGGAATCAATCAAATATAATCATTTATAGTTTTACACTTGGATGATAAATATACAAGATACAATTTTATTTTATATTATTACAAATGTAAGAATATATTTGTGAAATAATCTGCAGTGATACGAAATACTATTTTTCACTCAGGGATTATAAAGATCAGAGTTCATAATTTCAGATTATACCTTGTTGGTTTTATCAGTGTCCTACACAGTAGTTAAATCACAATCATATTCTCAGATACAAGCAAATACACATTTACTACAGTGAACTATAAAACGTGTTTGCAGTTATAGTTTAGCTCTCAATACTTATAGTGTGAATAAAGAAGTATAATACTCAAGGACCCATTGGCAAAATGTTCCTTTAAATTTTATACTGAGAATAACTAAACACATTTTATGCTGAGAAGACAGAGCTGCATTGGGTAGGTCCACTGGGTGACTTGGCAGGTGCTTGCTCTCTGCTGGGAGTGTACTGGGACAGAGAGCTGAGGGAAGAGAGAGAGCTTTGCTAAGTATTACTGATGACCACTCTGGAATGAAATGTCTTTAAAACAGTCTGTGCACAGTCATCTTCTTGGGTCCAGTTGCAAGAGAGGCTGGTGGAAGGAACTTGGTTCATCTCAGCCATATCCTTTTTCTGAATATAAAAGGATACAGTATATTAAAAATCCTACTGTCTTTATTTCTTTGATCAGACAAAAAGGTTCCTGAAACATAAGATTGTTCTTTTACAGGAAGAATATCTTGGGCAGAATTCTGCTCTTTACTGACTTACTCTCTTGGCCTGTCATCTTGGAAAAAGTTTAAGACCTGACTCGGACTGTTTTCAGTAATGTGGTCGGTAAAGTCAGGTTGCCATTACAGTGAGAGAGAGTAGGTGATGATAGGAAGTTAATCAATGAGTTGGGTGCTAGCTTTTAATGTACAGCATCACGGTCAATGGTTGTTTAGGGAGTTGTCATATATAATCCTCTAACCCACTGTCTTGTACAGCAGAGGAATAGCAAACTTACCAAAGCCAACAGCACAATACTGTATGTCATTAGTATGTTTTCTTATCAGATGAGCCCCTTTAAGGTGCATTTATTTGCTCTGCCCACGCTGCTTTGTCAGGGCAACAGAAATATTATTAGAAATCATGAATAACACTTAATTCTAAGTGTAATAATATGTCTTGCCATTACATGTTTATTTACAGTATATTTGCTTTTGATAAATTTGATCTCACTTAGGGGGAGTGGATCCATATTTTACAAAAGAAAACCTTTATTGTATTATTTTTGAGCATATTGCAGTCAAACAAAACCAACTACAGCTGGTACTATTTTTAGGTACTTTTTGATAGTGCAGGGTATTGAATACATGACAGTACCAGGGTCATTAAGTGCAACTTTTTGCACAATTCATACATCATCTTGCTTAAATGAAGTTGTTTGAGTTTGAACATGATACCCTGCTATTTTATCAAAGCTAGTATCCTGACATCTTTTAAGAAATGTCTGGATAAATTGAATCAGTTAGCTACCACAAACCGAACAAATTATATGGGCTATATGGCCACTGCTTTTCAAATGTTCTTATTATGTAATCTTCAATAATTGTTTTTTCTTTCTTAAGTTCCAGAAATTGCTCCTGCTAATGTCAGTGGAGGTGGTGGAAGCCGATCAGAACTTGTAATTGTATGGGAGGTAATGTGATGCTTTTGAAAAAAATTCAAGAAATTGATAAAGAAAGTCTGAGGTGTGGCTCTATTGACATGACTTACTGTAAATTGAAAAAAAAAATCTAATTAGAGGAAAACCATTCATTTTTTCTCCCCCAACCGTGGTAAAGCTATCTCTTAATATACAGTGCAACTGAAACTTGACACAGTTGTGGGCTATTTAACCTGATGTGTGAAAGATGACGTGAGGACATGATAAATAAAACAATAAGAACATAAGAAAGTCTACAAATGAGAGGAGGCCGTTTGGGCCATCTGGCCCATTTCAGTTAGTAGTTTATTAAGCCAAGGGTTATTCGTTGAAGGAAGCCAAGGTATCAGCTTCAAGCACATGGCTGGGTGGATTATTCCATACTCTCACAGCCCTTTGGGTAAAGAAGTGCCTGTTATGTATTACACGAACTTGTAAATTTAAACATTATTTCCAAAGGTCTGTTAGTAAACATTTCTTCATAAACGTTACAAATAGATGCAAACCAAAAAAGCTTTGTCTTAAATCAATGTCTTAATAAATTCCTTAAGAGCTTCTAATCCTTTTAACTCCCAGCATGGGGTTAATTATGGATCTTTTATGAATAACAATTTGAAGAATGTTTCTTGCTTTCTGCATTGCAAAATCTTTAGATTTCCTCTAAACTACAGTATTAAACAGTCCATTTTTTGTGGTTTTTGTTCTTTATTACACAGCCTATTCCAGAAGAGCTACAGAATGGAGAAGGGTTTGGATATGTTGTTGCTTTCCGACCTCTTTACACAACCACATGGATGCAGACAGTAGTAGCTGTACCTGATGCCTCCAGATATGTCTTCAAGAATGAAAGCATCCCACCACTTTCGCCATTTGAAGTCAAAGTTGGTGTCTATAATAACATTGGTGAAGGACCATTCAGTCATGTATTCACAGTTTATTCTGCAGAAGACGGTAGGTTTTGCTTCAGAAATTACTATTTACAGTATACCTCAATTACTTCCCTTGATAATTAAAAAGTGCATTCAGTGATTACAAAGTGCATTCAATTATTACATCTTCCAAAGTTCATAAGCCGTTGTCCATTCTCAGGAACTTTTTGTTTTCCAGTCTGTTTAGTTTTTTCTCAAATGAATATATCCATTTTTAAAAATGAGATGCTTGCTTAAAAATATTCTGTTAATTATTTTGAAGGGACATCATACTGTATACACTTAACAGACTTTGTATCAAACATGTCATGTCTGAATCAGTCACGTTCGTATCTGATCAGTTATGTTTTGTTAATCTTGGCTGTTGTTGTCATTCATGTTCCACAAAATAGAAAGAAGAGAAAAACTAAATATGCAAGGGTTAATTAATTTTAATCCACTACTGTCACCTTGTCCTAACTGGGACCTGGTGAGACCAATAACTCAATAGCTTGGCAACACTCACTTGCTGTCATTTGAGCAGTAGATGTGATTTGAAGGACAATTGCTGATCATTGACCTTTCCTGTTTGCATTATTGTTACAATAATAAGGTGAAATAATGAATCAGCCACATGGGAGAGTAAGACAGAAATCAGATCCAGGTGTAAATGTGGTAAATACATTCCACTCTTCTTTTAAAACCAATGTCATGGTATGTATTTTGTTTTTTTATTTATTGTGAACAATTTAAGAACCTAATGCGGCACCCTCAAGAGTGTCTGCTAGAAGTCTGTCAGCTTCCGAAATTGAAGTGTATTGGGATCCTGTGCCTTGGAAGACCAGTGCTGGAAGAATTCTGGGTTATGAGGTAGGAACAAAATATATTTCTTGCCTCTGACACGTCTTACATGAAAGGAAACACTGACAGAGGGAACAAATAAAATGTTGGACAGTGAAAAATCTATCTAGTTAGAAATTGTATAAAACTCTCTAGAGGCTGAGAATTGTTTTCTGACTTTTTAGCTTTGTATTTCATTTTTTTATTATTTATTTTGTCATAGTACAGACTCAAGAGTCCACAGCCTGTGTTTATGAATGGCACTTTCAATTCCTTTTTAATGCAGCCTCTGTTTCAGTGATCCCCCACTGAAACCTGCAAAAAATGTATCGCTACTCCCTGCATTTGTTTTTCCTACTGTACATACTCAATTTTCAAACATGTGCAACATCATATAATGGAGAGAAAAAAATATATTGGCAAACCAAATTACAGCAACTATAAGGACTTCACATTACCAGTTTAAAGAAATTCATATTTACTTAGAAGCCCATGACCTCTGTGACAAAACTGTTATCTTATAAATTACCATACAGTATAGTAGCTGTGTGAAAATCAACACTGAATTACAGCACTTCTGTTAGGATGTTCTCTACTCAGATAAAATGCTGATCTGAATATAATAATAATAATAATAATAATAATAATAATAATAATAATAATAATAATTGTTTCTTTTGGGAATCAGGTGCTCTTCTGGGAAATTGGTGTAATGGAAAAGGATGCTGAGAAAATCAGGGTGACAGACATATCTGCAAATATTACAGGCCTGAAGGGGAGCACAACATATTCAATAGAGGTCAAGGCATATAACAGTGCTGGAACTGGCCCTTCAAGTGCACCAGTAAATGTCACCACCAAAAAGCCACGTAAGTATATGAGCTTTTAAGAGTGTCTGAAATACAAAAATGAGTAAGTACAGCACATGAGATATACAGTACAGTACAGTATGAGGTTAGGTGAGATTACTCACTATGTCCCTCCAAAGCCAATTAGGAAACTCATTCCTAATGTACATTTATTTGATAGGTTGTAAAGATATTGTAAAGGGACTAATTCTGTTTAATTTTTTAGACATATAAGACTAAGACATGAGGTTGGATAATTATCTGATACCAATTATATGAGGACAAAACATAGCAGAATACTTCAGTTAAGAGACAGTCATTGCCTAGATAAATCAGTTATATTGCTCTGTGGGGATTCTGTAAGCCAATCGCAGTTATTAAATTGAGCATGTAAATTTAAGTCTACATAAAAAAAGAATCCAGAGTCAGCAGTTATATGCTATTCTTAACACAGGTTTCACATCTGAAGTTCCTTTTCATAGTTAAAATGATCCAAAATGTATACATTTTACTTTGTTTTGCTTTTCTGAGGTTAAGATTATGGAGTTTTTGTTTATTACAAAATCAATTGTTTATCATCATCAATCAAATTGTATTATTTTTATTTAAAAAATAGTGTCCTTAGTATTTAATTCGCTCTGTGGGATAAGTGACAGAGCTAGATTAAATGTATACAACCCATTCATATTGACCTTAATACAGCTTAATACAGCTTTTGGTAATATCAGCTGTCATGTTTAAACATTAATTAATGAAAACATACAGAAAACACCTTATAGCTTGTTTATTCCAATTGCTTTTGTTTGTAGGAATATGGTGATATTCAGAAGAAAGAAAATCTGAAAAGCGGATCGACAGAATATATAATTATCAATGGTCAAATTAAACTATGAATCTGAAATCGTCTGCTTTTGCACCACTGCACCACAGAAAATAATACTCTTTCAAATAGGTGCTCAGGGTAGACATTAGAGATAAAGAAGCAATTTAAAAAGAAGTAATTGCAGTGCAGATTGAAAGTATTGATTTCATTTATTAAAGCATGTATCTGTGTGATTTATATTTTAGCTCCAAGTCAACCGCCTGGGAATATTGAATGGAACTTGACAAATTCAAAGATCTTTTTGAATTGGGAGCATGTGAAGGCAATGGAAAATGAGTCAGAGGTGATTGGATACAAGGCAAGTTTTCCAGTTATTGAAAGATCTTCTTTGTTATAAAAAATACCTAAGGTTGTTTACCTTTTTATGTGCTTGTTGAGACCTGCTGAATAAGTGCCCCATACAATCATTTGTAATGCATAATGTTTCTATATTTTTGGTTGCAGGGGCATTTGTTTTTTAACACCAGTGAGTGTCTTTATTTGAAAGTTTCCTGAGATTCTGCAGTGGGCTAATTGATTCATGCATTAAATGTATACAAATTACAGCTGTTCATAAAAAAATGAATATGTTATATTTAAGTGTAATGTTGTATAAAACATTTCTATTCATTTTGCAATATAGAGTGTGAATTTCATTGTCATACCACTGATTTTTCCTGATAATGCAAATGACACCCAACTCATCAAAAGAATGTTGTTTGGCCACACTGTAATTTCAAAGCTCACCAGGATTGACGTTGTTTTGCAGTGTTTTTACATAGCTACATAGCTGTATATGATAGTGACTACTATAGTAACATGGCTTTAACTTAATGAGATGGCACTGCTGCATCTTACCAAAAGAAGTCTAATTAATATGTTTACAACACCAAGCTATGTAGTGTAAATATATTATTAAACCCATGTTTTGTTTTGATTTTGTTTGTTTTGTTTTGTTTTGTTTTTTTGTCCCATTTTAAGTAGTGTTCAATTTATTGTTTCAAAAATACTTCATGGACATCAATGAAAAAAACTCTTATTCTAAAACTAATGTATTCAGATTACAGGCCTTCTAAAATACAAGGTAAAGTTAAACTGTGGATACCGTTATAATGGGACAAAGACTATGCATTAGGCAATACATTATATGACCTAAGAATAATAAATGAAATGGATTTTGTTGAATATTAACTAAAACCAATGCATCACCCAAACTAGCATATTCAATAAACTGCAGCAGCATATTCAATAAATTGCTTTTGTTTTTTAAAATGAAAACAGCAAAATTAAAGTTGAAACATGTCGAATATGACATATATAGTACTTTATGTTCAGTGTTCTTATCAAAGGAGTGAGATTTATAATTATAAATTAATCATTTATAATTGTTTGCGATTGTAAGCAATTTGGCAAGGAGGATTAAAAAAAAGGCGTTGCTTTCTTTTAAAAAATCACTAATGATGACTTAATTACAATAAACAAAAAGGTTTTTAGAGTTTGGTAGCTGAGGAAGAAAGTCAGCTGTATCTTTTAGATGGTGTTCCCTAACTGGTGTTCCACAGGCATTAAGCCCAGCACATTGAAAAACCACAGGGGTCTGTTAAGCCACCTCTGACAATAATTTGCAATTCATGTAATTTTCCATTAAGCCCCTGCAGAAAAATTTAATAGACTCTTGTATTTGTAGATTCTTCCTCTTTCTTAATAGACTACAATGTTCAGGACTTTACTGGATGTTAAAAAGAAATAGAAATCTTTCACCCATAAACTTAATTGGCATGATATGAAAGGGAGTGGAGAGAAGACACATGAATGTAGTATCAATAGAAAATTGTTTTTGCACAATTTTAGTAACAACTTAATTGTGCCCCCGTTCTGTATTTTAATGGAATTTGTTGTTTATTTAGAGAGCAGCTTTGTTCTTTGTCTGTTTTAAACAAGCTTTTCTGAAAAGTAGCCTCAAATTAGTTCATTTCACACTGGGCATTCCAGCTATCATCTTACTTTCATGCTGAGGCTTGAGTAGAATAAGTCAGAAAAAGCATTGTACTGTGAATGACCTGGCAACCTAACACTGTGCTGTTGTGTGCTGGTATTGGTAAAACACAGAGAGCCTGTTAATTCTTGTTACCGTTAATGTTAAAAAATGTATTTTTTCCAGGGATTTTAACAGGAAAGTTCTTTAAGGAAAGTAGGTGCTCTGTAGGAAAGTCCCCTTAAATGTAAAATATAATTATTCTGATGAAAGTTAATTATATCGATAATATACTATATTTGAGCACAATCATTAATGTTTCTAAGATATTCATTAACATACTGCTTCAGTTATTGAAGAGTGGTCTCAATGGAGGTGTACCTGCCCGAAAAACTTTGCTGATTGCACTTTCAAATGTTTGCCACTACTTCACTGTGTTATGGATGGCCTTGTATTGAAATTATGTTTCAAGAGGGTCCTTGAGCAATTCCTGCACTCTGACCTGGGCCTCAGTTTCATCACTGTTGTAGGCACTATTTGCATCTTGACTGGATTTGATTGTAAGTTGCTGTGGATAAAATACTTTGAATAAATGTAAATGTAAATCACTGAAGTCCCAGGTTGCGTTCACCACATGATTGCTAGGGAAGAATGCAGGTATTAGAGGAAGACACTGTTTTGCAACATAAAAAATATGCATCGTGGCAAGTGCCTGGTAAGGCCTATGATGCATCTGCGAACTCACATACCTTAAAGCCTGTATTCTGAACTGTGGGGCTTGTTTGTCCCAATGCTTAGCCTAGTGGAGGCTTATGATCTTGTGATGTAATGACAGAAGAGAATGGATATGCTATTTTCTCTACCTGTGAAGCATATATTGTGGATGATTTGTCAATTCACTTTACGTACTATCTAATTCTTGTACTTATTTATCCCAACCAACACACAAAAAATCACAACTCAATATGTAGCAGCTTCACCAACAGAACCTTTTTCCATCCAGGTTGTGTATCGTCAGAACTGGCACAGCAGGACAAATGTTGTAGAGACTAATAAAACATCAGTGGAGCTGCAGCTTCCATCAGGAGAAGACTACCTCATAGAGATAAAAACATTCAGTGATGGAGGAGATGGCAGTAGCAGTGGGCCAATCAGGATTCCAAAGATGTCAAGTAAGAGATTACCTTTTATTTTAAAAAGTCACTAAAAAAGGGATATCAGAGAATTAATTAAACTTTCTACACTAGGG